ATGTGGGAGTTTCCGAAATTGGGGTACCTTATTTTGGGGTACCCTAAATAATAGGTGCCGTACTATAATAAGGACCCAAAAAGGGACCATAATTTTGGCAACCACCCATGTAGCTGTGGCTGACTGAACGAAGGGTCGGCCGATTCGCTTGCGAAACCAGCAAATGCCGAGATTTACACACCGCACTGCATTTGCATTGGTGTGGCTGGTGCTTTCTCCGTTGCTGGGCAGGCTTCTGAGAGCTTCTGTCCGCGTGCCCCACCACGAGGCTGCAGCCCGGGCCGAGGCTGCGAAGTTTCGTGGGGTGAGCTATCACAAGCAACGGGGTATTTTCATGGCACGCCTGTGTGTTTGTGGCCGACCAGCCTATATCGGCTGCTTCCAAAGTGCTCAGCAGGCCGCTGAGGCCTATGATCAAGAGGTGAGACGCATGTACCCAGATGCCACTCCAGACCACCAGTTTCGGCGCAAGAACTGGCTGAACTTTGCCTCGGAGGAGGAAGCTGCTTACGATGAATCCCCGGAGCAGGCACGAACGCGTGCGATGAGCACATATGGCGCAGTCCAGCGCAAAGAGGCCAGATCCTTCGAGCTTTTGAAGGAGGCCTTGGATGCATCAGTTTATTCAGGGAATTACGAGCTCATGCGCTTGACCGGGTCTTCCAAAGCAGATGCTTTGTTCAAGCTTCGTGGCTCGTCGAAAGCTGGTTTACCGATTCAGATAAAGGCAGCAACAAGTCTGTGGAAGCAAGCAAGGACTTACACGTTTAAAAACTTGCTCGGATATGATGGCATGCTGGTCGTTCTTGTCGCATTGGATGGCGCCCACTTCTGGGCGGCCGCCGGCGAGGAACTCAAATTTGATAATATGCGCATAACCATCGGGTGTGAAAGTGATAATGAACGGCGGGTCGAAAGTATAGGGGCGCTGTTGGTTGCTTGCTTCAAGAACATTAAGAAGTTTCCCCACGTGTCCGTTGAAGAGGCAGAGCTCCAGTGCTCCCGCACTTGTAGGGTTGAGGTAGCCGCACATCGGCAGCTCATGAAGTTGTTTAACTGCGTGAACTGGAGCTTGACATGTCCTCAGCAACATCTGTCGACAGTCGACTCCCTGCTGGAGGTTGGCGTCGGGGGTCCGGTGGTGCGCTTGCAAGAGAAGGCATCGCACTTGAATCGTCGGGGCAAGTATGAGGTACGAATGTCCAAGTGCGGAGGCTCGCTTGGACGACTTGCATATGCTGAGAACGACTTCGACTTGCTGGTGGCCCTTGTTTTGCACAAGGATAAGTTGCAAGGCATCTTCCTGCTTCCCTCTTCCGAATTGGTGCAGCAAGGCTTGGTGGCCAAGAGGCCCTCCTTGCTCATTCTGTACCCACCATGGTGGCTCCCGAAGAGGAGTTTTTACAAGGAGAAAAACGCTTGGCAGCTCGACTTCTTCATCGACCTCCGCACTTGGCAGGGCTCCACGGAGCTGCCAGCGCAGGTGAAGATGCGCCTGGAGCGTCGCGTCTCTCAGGTTTTGCAGCGATTCTCTCAGGTTGTCGGCGGAATCGCTGCAAAACCTGTCCCCAACCCGTGTTGAAAGAAAATGGAAGCATCATGAAGCAGCAACTTTGACGGACGAGACTCTGTTTGAGACCTTGGCAATCTGCATGGGCTACATCCACACTTTGTTTTGTGGAGTCGGTCGTAGCTCCTGGAGGCAGCGGGAACCGAGTTGTTTCGAAGATTGCGGACTGGGGGTTCGACGGAAAGGCGTGGAAAGCTCCAACAGGCGAGTCATTCTCTGATTGTACGTGAGGATCCTGTTGTTTTCTTCTCGTTTGCTGCATGGGAGCTTGCAGTTATGCGGTGGCAATGTGAGGCACGAATCCGGGCCCCCATAACCCTAAACCCTAAGGGCCTAAACCAGTCTACACAAATTCGACTTCACGACCCCACTCTCTGAAACGTAATTACATCCCTCATTGCGATGCCGACCTTGGCCGCACCGCAGCTTTTGTGGTTCCAAAAAACATGGAGCCTGCAAACCTCACGGCCCGAGCTACACTGCTCCACATGTTTGACGTATCGCATCCTTTTATTTAGCTAAAGTAGCCGTTCCATTACAATACGTCTTACTGATAATCACAAGAGTATCAGGAAGAGCAGAACATTTCTTGCTGTTAGCAGTAGTCAGTACCAATACGTATCTATTGCAATACTACATCCTTAACCAGTGCTGATAGGAATACCCAACATGCAAAGCCACGGTGTCCCAGAGCAGATCTTGCCCGTCATAGAATGACAGGCCGCCTCGGCCAGCCAGCTTGCTTGGCGAAGCTCGCCACAAACCCAAGCCCATGCACACTGAAACGATTGAACCCGAAGCCCCAAAAGCCCCGACTCAGAAGCCCTAAGCCTCAGATCCTAAGTCCTGAGACAAGCCATGTGCTGCATGCCATGGGCAGACGCTTTGGCAGTGACCCCCTCAGCTGAAATTCTGTTACAGCTGCACCCGACGGCCCCAAAACGCTAAACGCTAAACCCTGAACCCCAAGTCCAATACCCTACCGCCCAAACCACGATCCTCCATGCATCGTGCCATCGGACGTATAACGCGAGACAGCTTAGAACCGTAGCTCTTGTTGTCGCATGGGGTTTGGAAATTTCTGTATCCCCAATCCTTGGTCCTGAATTTCATGGCAGGTAAGCACCACCTGCGGGTTCGGGGGTTGGCGGCACGGACCGCTGCTGCAGTGTTTGAACAGCCCAAACCAATACCGAACGAACTGAAACGACCTTGCGATGCGAACCCCAACCATCATCCCAACTCGTGGTTTGCTGCGTGGGGCTCGGGAGCTATATAGAGCCTCCAGGGTGATGACTTAGGGGCTGAGAGTGTACTTTAAACCTAAACTTCAAACAGCCCTCAAACGCTGAACCTGAAGCCTGAAACTCCAAGCCCTGGAGCCTTCATCGACACCCCAGGCCGTAAACCATGACTACGGGCCACGAAAACTCCGCTGCCCCGCGCGTCCCTCGCTGTCATCTTAGGCGCCCCTCGCTGATGGCCGCGGCTAGGGAGGTCCCGGAATTTGACTGAGGGAGGGGTTTGTTTTACATGGTTGTGGGGAGGGTTAGATGCGCGTTTTCAGGTGTCTTACAGTGTTGGATTCCAATGTTTTTATGAGGGTTTGAGGTCTTGGGGTACAGGGTCTAGGGAATTATACTTCCAGCTTCAGGATTGAGGATCTCGGAAATTGGCCTCGAACCCAACCGGTACCCAAAGATCACGAATCCTTTGAGTAAGGAATCGTCTCTAAATCGCAGCAACACGGGGCTCGGGAACAGCAGTTTTCATCGTGGCAAGCAGACCCCGACAAACTCCTGGTCTTTTCGGATGCCTCCGCAACCCCACTGCCTCGGAACCTTAGCCCTTAGACCCGAAACCCTAACTCCTTAAACCCCCCTAAGCCCCTGCACCTTCAGCCCCTCCAGTGATGTGCAGTTGGAAGACTCCTTGGCTGTGGCGCTCCGGTCCTCCGCGATCGAATGGGTAGCAGCCTCGGGGCTTTTCTCTAAGGGCTTTAGGAGGGGCCCTTAATAGATTGGGGTTTAGGGTTTAGGGTTTGGGGTTTAGGGTTTAGGGTTTAGGGTTTAGGGTCCTTAATAGGGACCCTTGTAGGTTATTGGGGTGAAAAAAATGGAGACTACCTGGCTATCTAGGGGGTATATAAGGTGTATACAATGGTTATTTAAGGTAATGGGGTTTAGGGTCCCTATCAGGGGTCCCTCCTAAAGTCCTTAGGTCTTTACTACCGAGGTCTGAATGACGAGGCAACTAGGGCCTAGGGAAAACATCCTCTGCAAAGTCTAGTTTCCTGCACTTTACCCAAAACTCCCAAAACCTTATTCTAATAAACCTTATTCTATTCGTTGAGGCCAGGCTATTCGGAACTGTCGGCTTTAGGGCGGCTTGCTCCGAGCCGAGCCCACTCTACTGTAGTCATTCTAGGCCACTATCATCGCTTGTTGATGGATATCGCACCGAAGCCCCAAGCCCTAGAACTTCACCCCAGCACCTGCCAAACCCCATAAGGTGACGGTCTAAGGTCGGTCTGGGGGACAGCAGCCTTCGCATGTAAACGGGCAGGTCGCACCAGAACCTCCACACCCCAAAGCGAGAACGTATTAGGGGTTTAGGCTTTAGGGTTTGTATGCCCTAACCTCGACCCGAGACCCCTCAAGGTCCCTGTGCCTGAACCTTCTCAAAGAGCCCCGAACCTGGACCTCCAAACAAAGCGTTAACTCAAAAGCCCCAAGCCCCTTTAAAGTCCTGCAGAAATGGTGCATCCCTTCTGACGACCCCAAGCCTGCAAGAGCCATGCATCTGCCTCTTGAGGCCGTCAACGTGCAGATCTGCGACCTGATCAAGGCCTCGGTCGCTGTTTTAGCTCTCTGTAGGTTTTGGAGTTTCAGATTTTAGTGCGCAGGGCTTTAAGTCTTGTGATTTTAGGGGCTGGGCTTCAACGGCGATTCAAGGCCCTTCTCGAATCATGTTCACTTTGGCAGTCGTACAACAATTGTAAGAAGGAACGACAACATTGTTGATTCAATACCGCTTCCAAGAGCGGCCCATTTAAATGATCTGGAACAGCTTTGGGTTTTGGATGTAGGCTTCGTGGTCCCAAACTTTTGTAGTAGGGGTACTCCACAACTTCCCCAGTATGGGTCCTAAACTCTCAACCCTAAACCCTAAACCCTAAACCCTAAACGCTTTAAGCCCAAACCCCAAGATTCCAGGAGAATCGCCACCTCGCCCCCCTAGCGCTGGCACGCATCGAGGAGCGCCTTCGTCCCGGGCTTTGCGGGAGAAGGTGGGGAGTTGTTACATGGGTAGTTGTCAAAATTATGGTCCCTTTTGGGGTACCGTAAATAATAGGTGCCATATTATAATAAGGACCCAAAAGGGGACCATAATTTTGACAACCACCCACATGTTGTACAAAGGTAGTGAGGCTTTCTCTTCGAGGTTTAGGGGATGTTTTCCAGTTGTTTGTGAAGGGTGGGGGCCCTGCGGCTCTTATTGTTGAGGAAGGTTCAGGGCTTAGGGTTCAGGGAAGCTCTGCAAGTGCTGGCCCCTTTGCACCGCATATGAGCTCCTTGGAGGCCTTGAACATAACATAAAAAGCCCAAGCCCAACACACTTCGGCCGAACGCCAGTGGTGGACTCGAAGCCTAGACGCTAAGTCTTAAAACCCCAAGGCAAAGACAGCCCATCGCCGGTGCATCTGGCGTTGAGCCTTTTGGAGGCCGATTCCTTTTTGTGGTTCGGGGTTTAAGGTTTCTGATTGGGATTGAAGCGGGTGCAAGAGGGGGGGCTTTCGGGTTCCTCAGTTTATGGAGTTTAGGCTTGGGATTGCGGGCTTTCAATAACTCGAGTTCGAAAAATCCTAGGCCCTGCTCGTGACACCTAGGCCCTGCTCGTGACACCTATCATCAAAAAGGCCATTGCTTCTGCATTTCGTTTTGCCAAGCACAGTGGGAAAGATCTGTGATTAACACCCTCGAATCTGCCCCAGTTGCTAGGTCAGCAATGCCACAAGGCAAAGCTCACGATCTGTGCGTCGGTCGGAACCTCCAAACAGGAGCTTTTGCACCCCGCAAAACCAAGCCTTTGGGCCTTTGGGTGTTGGATTTTGGATTTTGGATCTCGGTTTGAGGAGTTTTAGGGTTTATAAGGCTTCCAAAACTCAGAAACTGTCAGGCACCCCAGACCAAGCACGGAAACCATCTGCTCACGCTACTTCCGCAGATGCTCGTGAAGAACTGTGGACTGATCATCTGCCAAGCAATCAATGCAGGCGCGCCCGATGCTAAGTCGACTCAAGGGTGGAATTCTGAAAATGTGCAAGAGTAAAGTGCCCTTGAAGTAGATCAGCATAGTAAGGTCCCTGTCGTAAAGTCAGAAAGTGCAGCTTGAGCATGTGCGTTGGCATAAGTGGCTTAAGTTCAGGAGGACATTTTTTCGTGAAATGTAGCTGTGACGCCGACGGCAGCATCGATACCAATTTCGGCGAAGTTGTGCGACACAAATAGCGGCGCTTTGTAATGTGGAGTCGCGCAAGTATCGTGGTACGTGTTTTGGACCTACGAATTGTTGCTATGCAGTGTGTCTCTATGTATTCAAGAAGCGAGTCGCGAAGTTGGGTGTCCAGTGTACGCCCCCAACACCACGGCTTCTGCGGCAGCTGCCTCAAAAGTAAACCCTAAACCTAAATCCCCTTTCTGCTCTGCACTTCCTTGCTTCTGATTGGTTGGCAACAGCCGACCTTTGCAAGCCTACACCCCACACGACCCGCTGCCGAAACCGAAAGCCGCAAACCGAGCCTCTGAAGTAGACCCTTGAATGTCGACCCATGCCTTCATAATTGCTTAAGCGCTACACTGCAGCTGCGGAGTGGACAGTCCCTGTAGCTGCACTCCGAGTCACGACGGAGCTTGCGTGCAGACCTCGCAGAGACCCTCGTTTCCCTCGTGAAGAAGCGGGAGAGCTGGAGGCCCCTGTCAAGACAAAATCAGACCCCTCATGAATAGACCGCCCTGAATTCAGCAGCCTCCGTCTTGGGATCCCTGTGTATCCCTAGGATTGTCCAAGGGGGGTTTGTTGGCTAGTGGATGACACCATGTAAGGGCTTTTCTACAAAGCACGTAACTAGAGAGAGATTGGCCCCAGCTGTTACATGGGGCTGTTGCGTTCAGTAGGGGTTGTATGGGATTCAAGAGGACCTGGAGGCCCAAACAACTCTAAATGCAGGGATCTGGATACAGAGAATGAGTCACCAAGGTCGTGCAGCCCGCTTTGCAGGTCAACAATCAGGATTTAGAATAGCCTTTATCAGATTCTGACGAGGTGTGGTCGGAGTTGACAGGGCCGTATAGGGGCCCAAAAGGGGTTTTTTCGAAGTACACAGAGATTTGGGCGGAATTGTGTTGCCATTCGGTCCGCTCAAGACTAACCTTGGATCCTAAGCCCCGAGCAAGAATGATACCCGAACCCGTAGAGCATTCGGCGTTCGTCTGAACATCATCATGCCAGCTGTAAACCCAGTGCAGATCCCAAAGCCAAGCGATTGAACCCTGAAACCTCAAGGCCCACACCCCTGAATCCGAACGGATGCTACGTAAGTCTTGATCTCATTCACAGGCATCCAGAACCGGAAATCCTAAGCCCCCCAACCCCAACATCCCTGAACCCTTAAATCTCTAATGCAAGCCTGTAGAAGCCCTCTGCCTGCGGCCAGAAGTCACCAGAGCCAGAGACATGAACATATCAGGATGATTTCTGAAGTTACAGTAGGGATCCTGGACAGAACCGTTGCTTTTGGGAAATTGGAGTCTCTGGCAAAAGACCCGGAAGAAGGTATGGGTTCGGCCGCAACCTGCACAAGACAGGGCTGCTCGGCCTGGAAGCAGTCTACAGGTCATCGGGGTTTCAGGGAAGGGGGCTGCAGCTTTGGGGGCCTTCTTGTTCGGGTTTCGACGATTTGGGTCTTCAGAGTTTCTTGAGCTTTCCAGGTTTCGCGAGTCCGAGGCGGAACGATTGCCATGGGGTGGGATGCAAGTTTTCGGCTTTGAGGGTGAAGGGGCCTCCGGCCTGGCGAGTTTAGTTTCGCGTGGGGGGGTGGTTTGGGGCTCGAGGATCTCCTGTGAGGGTTGCAGAGTTGAAGGTCAAGTTTCAGGGTCCCGGGTGTGTGGGGCTTGGGTTCAGATTTTGGAGCTTGGATGGACTGGGCCTGGAACCCTAAAATCCGAAAGCTCCGAAGCCCTCAACCGGAAGCCTAAACTCCTAAACCCTAAACCCCTCTGTAAGCCCCGAAAGCCTGAAGCAGAGAGCTTCCTTGGACGAAGTTGTGGATCTCATTGGCCTCCCTGAGCCCTAAATCCTAAATCCCAAGTCTGAATCCTCAACAGCAAAAGTGCTTGGGGTTCAGTGGTTTTGCAGTTTGGAATTTGGAAGCGTAGGCCCTAAACCCTGACCTCCGAGACCCAACGGTCCTCTTAAAACTCATATCCCTATGTTTTGACAGATTTTCTCAAGAGCCCTAAAGCCCAAAGCGTTAACGGTAAAGCTTCAACCCTGCACATTCCCAAAGCTCTGCTGAACCCTAAAAGCTTCAATCTCCCAAAGCCCTGAACCCATCGTTAGGGTTCGAAAAAAAGGAGCTCCACAAACCGAAAAGACAACTCCGCGGTCTCTCACCTTGAGCCCCAAGTGGCACACTTAAAGCCGTCTCCGCCTTCAGCCCTGAACTTAAACCGTCAAGCCTCATACCTTTGAGCCCCAAACCCTGTACCCTGCACTCCCTGTCCAAGGCCCAAACACTCTCGACTCTCATAAGAGCCTTCTTACCGAATCAAGGCTTTCAGAGTGGCTCCCACAGGGCATTGCCATCGGTGAGGCAAGGGACTTGCAGGGCTAGGGTTGGGTGGAAGTTTGGAACTTCATCGAGCGTAGGGTTGTGGGGCTTTGTGCTGTTCCCTTAAACCCTAAACCTTCAAGTCTGATTCCTGTGTTTGGGTTTGGATTGTCACGCCGAAACCCTGAACCCTAAACCCTTAAAGGTTAGGGGTCTGTGTTTGGGTTTTTCTTGCCACGCAGCCGTGGGCCTTAAGTCGCCGCGCCGCCGCAGACCTCCGTCCAAGTGGGGTTTCTGTAGGTTGAGACTTGCAGAGTTTAATGCTGGGTATGTTGAGTTTTTTAGACACGCCAACCCTGAATAAGCCCTAGAAGCAAGATCTCAGTCTTAGCTTTTTTGCAAGCTTTTGGTTGGCTGGAAGGACATGTAGGGTGTCGTGTCCGAAGGGTGTTTGCACTGTATAGGGTTCGGGGATTTGACTTCGAGGATTTTGAGTACCGAGCTGCTCGGCGTGGTTGTGTGTCGAAGCCCCAGAGCTTCAGACCTGCCTGAGTGATCCTTGGAGGCAACAGTGCACTTTACAACCTGAGCCTTCAGTCTTAAGCCTTTAACCCCCCAAGCCAACGCGTGCAACCTAAAGCACACGCCCCAAACCCCAAACCTCGAAACCTTAAACAGGAAGCTGTAAATATCTGAAGCCTACTAAAAGGAAAACCACAACCCCGAACTGCAGACACCTGAACCCCAGAGCCCTGAGTAAAGCCGAAAATGCTCAGCCCCAGCGCAGGACCAGCGAGCACAGTGGCGGCAAGCGACGCAGAAGGCTTCTTTGGGCACTGGGAGCCGGGGCGAGTTTTGTTTGGAGTGCAGGAGCCAGCAATTGGGTTTTGGGCAGGCCAGGGAACTATGGAATCCCAAGCAGAGCTTACCGTATTTTTCGCAACTAATGCAAACCAGATCGAGAGCCTCCCCGTCGACACAATCGCCTTACCTTGCTTCACATACTTCGTGATTATTACCCATAAGGCCCCATAGTAGTTCCTTTTTGGGGTTACCTTATAGGATTCTATATATGAACCCCCGAAAGGAACTATTTTAGGGCCTATGGGTACTTGTTACCAATCCAAAGCTTCAGGAGCTGATCTTTGGAAACTCAGCCAAGACCCTGAATCCTGTATTCGAGAGTGTAGAGCATGCAGACGACGAGAAAAGCCTGCATTGCACTGCCGCAGCCTTTTTCACACTTCGCGGTGCCCGAACGCGCGGCTGAAGATCTGGAACGATGGCTGAGGCCAGGGTCCTGCGATAAACTTTAACTGAGCCTGCTGATGCTCGCCTCTGCATTCCCTCATATTCCCCCTCTACTTCAAGAAAGCTTTTTCTCAGAGATTCGCGCCTTCGGTTTGAGTTTCCGGATTTTCTGCTTATGTCAGCCGCCGTTGGGGGCTGTGCGCCGAAGGCTAGGCTAACGCTTGCAGGGTTTGGCGGCGGCCCTGCAGGGGCCTAGATGGCTTTAGTGGTGTTATCCCTGGTGTGGGTACCGGAGGTGGTAGTCTTTAGCCACTTGGGGAAGGCAACCGTACCGTATCGAAACCCTGCTGGGAAACTCTGAAGCTGTAGACAGTCTAGATGATTTCTCGAGCCACAAGGTCCCATACAGAAGTTCTAAACTGGCCGTAGGCTTCCATGGCTCTGACCATCTTTGCGCTGATCGCCAAAGTGATCTCCGCGAAGAACGCGACGACGACGAGCTGCCAAAGAAGGTGCCGCTGCATTTGGATTCGGGAGTCTAGGAGATTGGTCGCGTGGAATTGTTGCCAGCCTTGAGGGTCTCAGAGCTTTTGTTTCCAGCAAATTCTCTAGGTGACAGGGCAACATGCACCTACTCTTAGCACCCTTAACCGTCCATGACTGCAACAGAAGAGTCCCAAAACTTCGATACCCTAAACCCTGAATGCTATCAGTGCGAGTCCGGACAACCCCTGCTATCGCCTCTTTGTCGCTGTGACGAGAGTTTGAAGTGGACGTTATGCCGTAGACTTGTGGCATCTTAGGCACTTCTTGTCTACAACCGGTCCAAATTTATTGTTGCTTTTCTCGTTCTTCTTCTGATGATTGTACTTATCCTTCTTGTTTCTACTGCTGCTACTGAAGCAGTTGCTACTCCTACTACTACTACTACTACTACTACTACTACTACTACGGCTATGGCTACGGCTACGGCTACTGCCCCTGCCCCTGCCCCTGCCCCTGCCTTCGCCCGTGCCCCTGCTGCTGCTGCTGCTGCTGCTGCTGCTGCTGCTACTGCTACTGCTACTGCCACTGCCACCGCCACTTGGCTAACTGCCACTGCCACTGCCACTGCCCCTGCTTCTGCTGCTACCACTGGTGGTGCTGCTGCTACTGCCACTGCTACTGCTGCTGCCACTGCTACTGCTACTACTGCTACTACTGCTACTACTGCTACTACTGCTACTGCTGCTGCTACTGGTGCTGCTGCTACTACTGCTCCTGCTCCTGC